CCTGAAGCTCCCGCAGCGAAAAATGTCTCGCGCTGCGAAAAAGCGAAAAAATCGCTTTCTGTCCTATGAACCACAATGGTTTACGGACTACTTGAACTTTCTTCCATGGTCCTGCCACGAATGGCGGAGGGCACAGACAGTTAGAGAACGGCGCCTGGCTCGGCTCCAAATCCCAGGAAGGAGGTGAGAGCCCTAGGACTAAGCCTTGTAGGAGGGACTTCGAGGTGGGTGAGCCAACTACAGTGTGGCAAAAGTTTGAATGTGTGAGATCACAATGGTCATGAGCCGCTGATAAGGTGAGAGAGCGCAGACGAGAATGGATCTGAGGCGGCTTAAAGGACCGGGTTCAAGTAGTCCGTCAACCCACCCTGATAAATCCCAGAAAGCATGGGCGATAGAACTGATTAGAGTTGGATAAATATTAGAAGTATAAATACAGGTAACAAGAACTAAGATACTCCGAGAATTTTGGAATACTTCTTGTTTTGCTTATTTTTGATTACTTATTAAAACTTCCAAAGAAGTGAAATAAAAAACAACTTTAAAAAGGTCCATAGACAGCTAGAGAACAAAACCTGTAGACAATTGTAAACAAAAACCAAACGGGAACTTACACAACCTTTCCCTAAGAAAGGTTGTTTGAACTCAAAAAAATCCTTATGAGCCTCCGCTGCAAAAAAAGAACGCGAAAATTCCCAATGAAGATGGGATATAGCTCAACTTTCAACAACGAATCTGGCTAACCACCCACCTGTCCATTACAGAGCTTTTCCAAAAAAAGCGAAGAATTTTGCAAAGTTGAAGCACATTCTTACTCACCACTGTGTTCTTGTTTGAAATGCTCATCCATTTTTGACTTCTTATGAAAAGTGAAGCATGATGTACAGGGAACTTTTTGAGAATTGTCCAGCTGAAATGGAAATCAGGGAATATTACATAAGTGTTCCACATGGTAAGGCACCTCGTACCTCTCCTTCATGTTTACGAAGATGTCGTATGAATTTCCGCACAGTGAGATCGGGTGACTTTAATGTGCTGGATAATACCGTATGTTCACATATTGGACATGTCAGCTGATTGTTTTTGAAAAGCGTTGTCTGTTTCTGAAATAAGAACGAAGCTTATCCAGAATGTTGAAAAAAGTTAAAACTTGCAACAGCGGCAGGTGATTCCGTAAATGTTGACACTGAATGCAGGAGATGTCACCTTACCCCTCGTCATTCTCGGCTTCAATGCATTTTTTTTCGTCATTTTTTGTAAGGTTTCAGTTCTGACCCTCTTTGAATTTCAAGAACAAACCAGAACCAAAATGCTGTCAGAGCCTGCGTATACAATACCGCAAAAAAGCACCGCAGACGCCTCTTGCCAGAACTTATGTCGAACTTGACATTTTTGGCTGGTTTCTGACAACATTTTTTCACGCTCTATCGATCGCCATGTAAGGTGCAATATGCAAAAGAGCAGTTCCCGTCAGTAAGGATGACTTTGTTGAAAACTAACAAAGGTGAGCAATTTTCAGGTCAGCTTTCCTGTGTTTTTCATTCGGTGTGGTAGTGCTTCCTAATTGTTCTTTTTGTCACAAATCATAGTAGGAAATATATTTTCATTCCGTAATACGGTGAAATGTTGTTACAGTGTTGAAATATGAGAAGATTTCTCGAAAACGTGGAAAATGATCATAAACCGTTATGACAGCATAATTTTGAAATTTATTCTGGAAATATTGTATTTTACTACTGATGGCATGTCAAAATCAGCTGAGAATATCAAGCTTGACATTAGTTATAGCAGAAAAAAACGTCTGCGGTGATTTCTTTTTTGACGGTACTTTATATATGAGATCTACACCATAAGTAAATAGCGTGAGAAGCATTCAATCGAGCATTACAGTACGTTGCCTGCCTATTATTTGTTATGTTCCCTTCAAAAAATAAAAGAAAAATGTATGAAAAGATCACTGGAACGCAACGAAATGGAGTCTTGAATCTTGAAGACTTCGAGACACGGCAATCTCAACGGAAAGTAGAATAAAAACAACTCAAACTTCATCTGTTGGTTTCCGGCATGAGCCAGGCATTCTAATTCTATTTATTATGGTGGAAATTGAGTGCGATTTTGAACAATACAAGTGACTTGCGGGGACCAGCCGATGTACGAGTCGATGTTTTTATCCTTGGCAAGAATGGTAACAAATGAATTTCCGGAGGAAGGAAAGTTTCGATATGCGGACCGGACCGTGCGCATGGTAAGTGGTGTTACTTGCCATTACACCATCTCCGCTCCTTGAAAGATTACCGTTGGTGACTTCATTTTTGTGTAGTATATGTCCAGAGACGAATTCTTGACATAATGGCGAAATCGCGAAGGTGATCAGGCGCTCGGAGAGGTGGGGCGTTATTCTAATGCTTGGAAAACATGTCCGTGCTTGTAAACCACCAATCATTCAGAACCTTAGGTTAGGTGCATGAGCATTTCATTTTACTCTAATCCTCTCGTAAAGCGCAATATAACCAAGTATGTGGTAATCTCACAGCTACTACGGCAAAGTCTAAAGGAGAGCTGAACGCAAATCAGCCACTTAATGAGACTAAGTAAGATAGAAAAAAAAAGGCTGATGAAGTACTGCTTCAGTTTTAGGCCAAAATTTATAATCATATTCCACACGGGTCTGCAATGGAAAGATCTCTCACCTCAAGAATTCGGACCTTATCAGCTGATTCCCCATTACTTTCGCTGCCCTGGCGTTTCCTTGAAGTACTTGGGCAAGTCGACTTCTGAAAATAGCTCGTAGTGTTTGCACTGAAGAAGAGGGAGAGGGGAGGGGAGCTAGTGGCGAAACAGTTACTACCGCAAAGAGCAACTCTAATTTTTTTGCGAAGGAAGACAGCTCTGAGCCGAGTGGAGGAGCCGAAGGTACAGGGTGTTGCACATTATGGAGGACGTCGTGTGCGCGCGGTCCTTACCCACCTTTCTCCGAGTAGGGTGGACTCATGTGTTCCAAACCAAATTTCATGAAGTTCTCAAAACTAGTGAAATAACTACTTCACTTTGAGTCAGTCCTCAAATTGAACTCACTAGGGGCTCTGGCACGTTACATCTAGCAGCAGTCTAAACTATCAGGGAAGCCCTTATGAGCAACAGTTCAACTCTTCAATAAGTTTGGAACCACCACAGATGGAAAATTCGGGGACTCGAAAGTTATACAGTTACCACAGGATAATTATCAGATGCAGAAACTAGGTCTTCCCTGTCGCACTTTCGTACTCCTCCAAAATGCAAAAAATCGGGTTGTGAACCTATCCATGACACTCAAAGCACCGCCACCATTGTAAGTGAATAGAAAGCACTCGAGCCGCTCTCTTAGGACTGTTCTACAGGACCGGCACACCCCAACTAAACGCAAAAAGTTCTCTAACAAAAACGTTTTTGCGTTCCTTACTTTGGAAGAAATTGCTACACATGGAAACCACCTAAATAGCCTTATAAGATACTTCCTGTACTTCCCCCGTTGAAGGGCCAGGGCTAAATAAATGCGCCAGCACAAACCTCGTCCCCCTGAATCCCGACAGCAGAGCAAACAACGTCAGGATCACATCGCTGACACGCCTTAGTTGCGTGTCACCGCACGCGCCACCCCCTTCATCTGAAGGCTCGTGTAAACGCGGCAGGTGGCAGATCTCAATTCTATTCTGGAATTACTTTGAGATAAGAGTTACAAACACTTCTGAAGTTTGTTTGTTCCATCAAGCTACTATGCGTTTTTAACGACACAATGTCTTGGTCCTCATAATTTTGGCCCACCCTGTAACTATGCGTACACCTCGGGTGTTTCGTATCCTGCGTAGATTAAAACAGCACGGGCTAGAGCGCCACATGTCTACTTTCATTGAAGTAGACCCCACCGATAATAACACACTATGCTAAGAAAGTATTTCATTGACCTACCGGCGAGAACAAATTTTTGCGAAGAACCAATATATCAGTCCCATCACTAAAACTTACAGGACTCCCTCTACACAGCCTTCAGCTTATAATTAGAAAAGGACCTTTCATTTCACAACGATACGAACCACCACTTGTGTGACGCATGAACGCTTTTGGTGGGCTTTCCTTTGAAGATTAGAAAACATTCCTCATACACTCAACGATGAACAGTTCTGAAGCTGTGTGGAACTCACATCTGCTGTTTGTAGCCGTGAAGCGTATAAGTCAACCAATTCATTCCAGCCAGAAATATTGCTGCAATTTCCATTCGTGTTAAGCATTTTTTCAAGTGTCGTTGACGAGCTTGCAACATTGCTCAGCCAATCGAAGCTTCGGTCCCTAATTGCCTCGACCATTCTGGAATGAATCCAAAGCGAAATTATGAATTTATTACAACTTAAAGCATAAAACGCATCACATAACTCACAAAGCAATTCAATAGTTCGCGCGCGCCGACCGTTCGCAGGTCCTGCAATTCCCTACTAGGGCGCACTTGCTGCAGGGATTGTATCTCTAGAGAAATCACCTTAAACTGCCTTCAACTAACTCAAATGAAACAAGATCATTTTACACGAACATCAACATGACAACTGATTCAACAATATGCACCAAAGTCACGGAAAAACCGTTTCTGATGTGGGCGCAGGTGCTCTAATATTGTCAGGTTATATCACTAGAGGTTATGCTACTTCAATAATAATCTCATCTTTCGGCATTTCCGTTTTTAAAAATCGTGCTTTTCACACTAGAATGCCAAGTAGTGAGCCAGACAATCTTCCCTTGAGATGATAGATAAACGTCGGTAAAAAACGAAATCAATGAATGTTGCTGATTCAATTCATTTATTTAATAAGTTAAAGGTGTTCGTGATTTCCATGTATTATATCAGTTGAAGACAATGGACCTTCTGAAGTACATGCAATAGCTCTAGCTCACTGAATATTGGCTCGCTTCTCCTATTAATGCTACGGGAATTGGATTCTTTGTATTGCTCCGCAGCTGAGCGAATACCCGAAAGGGTGTGCTTTAATGACCATACAGGTCTTCCCTCCTTCATCTAATGAACAAGCAATCGTTGAGCGATGCAACTAAATCAAAGATTGTCGTTTCCAAAGGGAAACTGCAAATTAAACAGGCAAGTTGCCTTCCAGGTTGCTCTTTTTTCATCACGAAGAATTTAGAATAAATAGACAAGTACTGAGAGATCATTGAAAGGCTTCTTGACAATACAGAGGGCCACATATCTCAATGCTGAGTAACATCGACTTGCCTTCCAGGCAACTCTTCAATGCATAGGCGAATACGGAACCAATCGAATGCAACGAATGGGGCGAGCCGCGTGCAAGGGAGTGACGGGCGCGGGGCCCAATCCGGACAATGGCGCCACAGCCGCGATGGGCGGTGCGCCGGCAAGCCGACTTCCAGATGGCCATAGTGGTGCCTTCGATTGTTAGGCACACCACCCGCGACATACCCCAAGACTGCAAAGTGCGAGGGAAAAGCGGAGCGGACCGGCACTTAAACCTGATGGCTTCCCATTCCGTTTTCGACTCTTAAGTTTAGTTCTAATTAAAAGTCATAAAATCGAAATATTTTCACTCAAAAGCTTTTAATGAGTTAAAATTTTAGGCGCAATGTGGCTCGGGGGGGCACCCTGGGAAAAGTCATTTAGGACTAGGCCTAAACAGCAGGGACGAACTCCGGAGAATACGAAAATTGGTTACAAGGTTTCTGTCAACCAAGGATGAGAGCGTAGCTGGAAAAGCACACACTTGTGTCTTATTGGGACTAAGCCTTTTGAAGAAGATAAAGAAAGAGGAGATGCTGTGATAGTGTGCGCTTGTGAGAGCTCCCAGACATCACTACAAACACACTGAACCGCGAAGTTCACGGTTGGACAGATGTCCTGAGAACCACGAAAATTGCTTCCGTACACCGGAGTTCCTCTCCTCTTCAAAAGCTTAGTCCTAAAACGGAGCGTTTCCGTGATTTTGACGCGATGTTGCGAGGTGGCCCCCCCCCGAGCCACATTGCGCCAAATTTTAAACACCAATTAATCTGCACGAAGGCTTTCAGGGACATTAGTACGACTCTTGGAAAGTGCTCAAAATTATCGCAGCCACGAGGCCTCAAAAACAAGGGTTCTCGATAGAAACATCACTGGAAT